CAGGAGAGAGAGAGAGAGAGAGAGAGAGAGAGAGAGAGAGAGAGAGAGAGTCATATACACTGGAGTTCAGATCAAACATTATTCTCAGTGGAGAGAATGAATAATCAAACCCTGTAAGGGTGAATTATGGAGTGAACTGGCTTTTCCTGTGAGTGCGGATAGTGACCATTTACTAGGTCCACAGTATGTGCCTGCATAGCTCTCCAGCTGGGCAGCAGGGGCTTCCTTCTGCCTGGTCCAGAGGTCCCATGTCCTCTGCCAGGATCTGGAATCACCTGCAGCCTGACTGGTCAATTCCCACACATAAAACAACCTCCTGAGCTGTTATTTGCTCAAAATGGTCCACACCTGGATTCAATCCCAGCCCACATCACAGTTACAAGATCCCACCCTAGTGACTCCCTGCGCTGCAACAGTGACTACCCTGGCTACATATACCATCAGTGCAATAGTGGCATCACAGACATGGGGTAACCAATCGATTCCTGATTGGATGTGGGGCCCACTCCACAGATCAGAACTGATACTTGGTCAAGGACCCACGGCTGGGGAAGCCATAGGCCCAAGAAGAGAACTTATTGTTGTTATTTTGCTAAATAGACATAGTATCAAACTACTTTGTAACTACCTGTTTTATAGCAGTAGGTTAGTGTATCCATGGCTAGGGAAGCCATAGGCCCCAGAAGAGAACTTGTTGTTGTTATTTTGCTAAATAGACATAGTATCAAACTACTTTGTAACTACCTGTTTTATAGCAGTAGGTTAGTGTATCACTCAACCTTCACCAGAGAAGCTTCATTTTGCACTGGATGGTGGTAAATACAGAGAGACTCACAACTGGTCAGGCACAGAGAATGAATGATGGTGGAATGTTTGTCTACATCACACATTTACATGCAACATCTACATAATTGTACCTCCTCCCTTCACGGATGAGGGATGTTGCAAAAGAGGGGATGGAAAAAACACTGTAAGAGATAGAGGTCATGGAAGACGGGAGAAACGGGAGACAAGACCACCACACACACGAATTCACACTGGCTGTCTGCACAGAATCAAGCCCAACATTGCAGGGAGAGAGAGGGGGAGAGAGAGAGAGAGAGAGCACATTTACTAACAAGGCCCTATCTTCACCTGAGAGCTACTGGCACGTGGTGGTTGCTGGGGCGGGAGAGCCCATTTTCTTCAAGGTTATGACCTCTGGTAGGTTGACCACGCTTTAGCGGTTGGCCTCACACCCATCCACATGAAGGCAACACTAATTCAACATAGTCAAACTTTTGAAGACGTAAAAAGAGGACATTAAATCGGGAGAGGGGCATGGTGGGGAGGTCTTAGAAGAGTTAGAGGGCAGTGGCAAAATATGTTATACACATGCATTAAATTCGCAAAGAATAAGTACGTTTAAAAACTGGTTGCTTTAACATGCCTTGGATTCCCATGACGGTATTAATTAGTTTCATCATTACAAAAGCATTTGCTATGGCTCCACCACGTCTCTGCAGTGATAACTATGTATTGGGATTACTGGTACATAAAAGGCCTTGCCCTGGGAATTTTTTTTTTTTTTTTTTTTTTTTTTTTTTTTTTGTCATCAGGAAGATACGTAGCAACTAAGAAACATAAAAAAATAAATTTCACTGAAGCTGGTCCTGTCCCTGCACTTTTACCACTTTCTAGAGTCACAGCAGACCCAGGGGACTCCTCAAGAAAACAGGCTCGGGGACGTGCACAGTCTGCTTGCCCTACCCAGTGGCTCCTCCCTGACAGGTTGCTCCTCCATTCGAATCAGGACTTTGGGTCGGACAAACGACAGCTTCTTGGACACGCTGTCCCTACAACCCTTGCATCTTCTCCGCCTCCGTGTTCTTGACCACACAGTGACCGGCACACATAAAGGGTTATTGTGCAAAGCAGAAAGGGTGGGCCTGAAGCTAAGCCTCCCCCTCCCCCTCCCCCTTTCTGCCCTTCCTCCAGGTCTGACTTTCTTTGTCCCCGCTGGGATCCAAGAGTGACCCGGAATGCCTTTAACAATCACCTGGACAGCCGGCACCATCTGCATTTTACAAATGAGGAAACCGAGGCTGTGATTCATTTAGTGAAGTTTAGTTACTCTCTGCCTAGTAACAGTTTTCCCAACGCCGCCATGCTTGGAAGCTTTCCTTCCCTTCTCTTGGGTTCTCAGGAGCTGTGCTGACACTCCTACAAAGCCAGGCTGGAAAGCTTTGCACCTTTGCTGCAAAATGGTGGCACTCTGCATCTGTTCCTGTCTCATGCTACATCCTCCTGCAGGTTCAAGCCTTGGTCCTGGCCTGTACTTGACTCTCGGAACTTAGGAAACATAAGACTGGAACTCTATGTCCTCTGAAGGCTCAAGGAAGTGGGGATCGGGTAATGCATTTGCTCACGAGTGGGACAAAAATCACATCTTGTATGATGCACCACCATTATTCTTCTACCTACATGTCCAACTATTTTTACACACTCCAGGTGACATTTTGGTGACAGAGCAGATCTCTGTCCCTGGCTCCTCCCAGCTGGAGCATCCCTGGTCTCCAGCTCCACAGAGTCTTTTGGGGATGGTTGTGTTTTTGTCTAGAAGGCACCTGAAGCAAAATCGACCTGACTGACAAAGACAAAATTAACAGTATCAACAGGACCACGGTAAGCTGATGGATTCCAGGCAGAAACTGGGGAAGGAAACACACAAGATGTGAGGGGGGCATTTCTAAACCTTTACATTTGAGACTGCAAGAATGAATTAGCTGAGAACTCTCTGGAGTTTGCCCAGTGGGGAAATCTGTTAGGATGAAGGTTCCCACAAAGAACTTCCTGTCAGAGACACCTTTGTCCTGCCCCCATTCAACTGTCCCCTGCCACAGTCCAATACAGCAGGAACTTGGGGATGACAGACAGGGGAAAACAGAGTGGAGTGGTGGCTCTGACGGTAGCGGGTGGAGAAGTGAACACACAGAGAGGCAAGCTGGGGGAGGGCAATGGGTACCGCGTGCATTCCCTGCCTCCCGGCCTTTGCACCTACTGCTGGCCACACAGCGGTCCTCTTACTCCAGGGTCTGTTAGGAGGGCATGTACAGTGTCTGACTCCATGCTGGAGCCCTGTACCGGGTTCCTGAACTTCATGAGGATCTGTTTCATATCAGGCATATGGAGCGGGACACTCGACGCTGCTCAGTGCAGCAGGCTCAATGGCAGAGCCAAAGCCTGGCCCTTGGAGGGTGCAGCAGGGCTGGGTTGCATCCATCCAGGGCGGGAGTCTCGTTCAGTTCCTTTATGAGATATGTGCAGGCACTCCAAGCCTGGATCCAGGCAGAATGGCTTTCTGATTGTTCTTTTTCCAGCTGAATGACATTCAGTTCATGCAAGGTTTAATAAGTCCTTCTGGGGCCCCAGGAAAGAACTACTCAACTGTTCCCACAAATGAGTTTCAGCCTCTGCATCCCCAGGCCCTGGAGTGTCTGGGGATACAAGGCTGGTCCAAAGCTCCAGCCTGGAAGCCCTGGGCAGTGTTAGGGTTTGCAGTTCTCAGGTTTTCTATGCTAAGAGCCAGAAACTTGGAAACAAAAGGGGATTGCTGCCAGGGAACTCCCCCCCCCTCAATTGCTACTCACCTCAGAGACAAGCATGTCACATTTCAGGGTCAGAGAAACACTCCAATGCCCCCCCCCAGGTTCACAGAGGGGATGCAACTACCCCACGGCCAGCACTGCAACAGTGGCCCAGCCTTGCTTTCTGAATGGAGGTCCTGCCCGCGTGACATCATGGGCTTGAGAGAGCAATGGGCAGAGGGCTCACAGTCCTGTCTGTGAAATGCCTTTTGAGAATAGACGCAAAGCCGCAAAATGAACCAATTTCAAATCATTGCTGAGTGCGGTGGGCTAAGGATGAGCAAACGGCTTCCTGTTAGAGACACCTTTGCCCTGCCCCATTCAATTGTCTTGTTCCCTCCCAGTCCTATAGGCACTTGGAGAAGACGGAGGGAGACAGAGAGGAGTGGTGGCTGTTATTGGGAGGGTAGAGGGGGGCGCACACCTTAGTGTCCCCGGTGTGAAGGCAGCGAGTGTCACTATGCCCAGCTCTTGGGAAATGCCAATGCAGAAACCAACGTCAGGTCTTCACATGTGTGAGACAGGACTTTGTTGAGCTGAATGAGCCCTCAGGGAATTTGTGCCTTTGCCCAAAGGCCCTTAAAGTCACCTCACCTTGCAGTCACCCCTCCTGCCTCAACCGCGAGATGACACTGCACGGGGCTCAGGTTACTTGTTTTCCTGTGTGTCCCCTGCTGACCTGGGGATTGGAGCTCACTGTCTGCCTTGCCCAGGGCCCCCAGTTGAGAACAGTGACTTGGGACAATGGGGAACACTCAGGGCCTGGAAGCAGGTTTTTTTCTCCCTCCCTCCCTCACAAGGGGTGGGAGATCTGTCTTCTTAGGTGTTGAGACCCTCATGGGAGGGAGAGGAGAAGCCTGTCAGACAGCAGCGTCCACCTGGGAAAAGCTGGCCGAGATTGACCCCGGAGTTTGCCGTTTCTGTTTGACTCCGGCTGAGCAAATTATGGGTTCCAGGGAGGGACTTCCTCTGGGTTTGCAAAACCAAACAACCAAAAATAGCCAGGTGGTGTAACTGTCCGACCATCCAAGACCGTGTCACTGGAGGGTGAGGTGAGTCTGTGGGCACCTCTGTGGCTGAGGCAGGCAGGGTGTGATACAGGTGTGAGGAGGCGCCTGGCTCCTCTGGTGCTCATTGCTCGGCTTCCTAGAGAGCTGGGCCCTCACGGGACTTCTTTGGGAAGTGGATACACTCCTGTCACCCAGGACTCATTCTGTAAGCCAGGGCCCTGGAGCTTGGGAGCCCCCTTCTCGGCTCAAGGCCCCATAGCTCTTTCTGTGTGAAGTCAGCAGATGATAAACACCACAGCTCAGCCTTTAGTGGAGACAGACAACACAGCCCAGTTTCTAGAGACAAGGAAAATGGGGTTCTTACCTGCTGTGCCGCGTCAGCAGTTCCTTAACCTCTCTGAGCCCCAGTTTCTTCATCTGGAAAACAAAAACAATGGCTCAGCTGCTTCCCGAAGTTCACCCAGCTCAGCCTTGCTCGGCAAACATGAACTCCTACAGTGGATCGACCGCCTGGTTAACTGTTCGGTGCTGGGGAAGAACACCCAAGTGCGTGAAACAACACAGGTTAGAACAAGAGAGCTATTTCCAGTCCTGGTCAAAACTGGAGCAGCAAAGCTCCAGAGACCAGGCCCTAAGACCACGTTCAGTTCCAGAGCTTTAGATGTGGAGCATCTGCCCCACAGCCTGAACAACTGGGGTGCTGGCAAGTGGGCTCCTCCCACTCCTGGGGGGTGAATAGGGCTGGAAGCAGGCATGGAAACAGGGAATAGCCCTCTACTCTGGGCCCACGAATAGGGGCTGAGCCCAGCACACATCTCAACCACAGGGCAGTAGCTGCCTCATAGAGAAGGGACAGCAGGAAGAATGTGAAACTTTAGGGACCATGAGGAGAGAGCCTGGACTGGAGCGCAGGTCCTAGGAGCCATGACCTCGCTGGCCCAGGCCACTGCTGCAAGTTGCTGCAAGGGTCCCAGGAATGGGGTTCAGAGACAGGCTGTCGTTTTGGTTGAGAGATTTATTGAGTGAGTTCTTAGCAGCACAGGATGGGGGAGGAGCTCTAACAGGCTTCAGAGGCGGGGTGGGGGGTGGGGGGGAGGGTTACCCTGCCTGGTAGCTGATAAGTAGCCCCATTGTATGTGCCTTTATCCAGGCTGTCTCTGAATCCCAGGCAACAGAGGAAGGCAGACAGTCTGCCCTAGAGTTCGTGGGCGTCCATCACATGGGACATGAGACATGCAGACCGGTCTGCTTAAGAGTCTTAGCAATCTTCTTTTAAGGAAGAGAGAACTGGAGCAGACTTTCTGTTCCCGTGACTATCAGTGCCTATTACTTCCCCATAGCAGTGAGGATCAGAGTCAGCTGAGTGTGGAGGCTGCGAGCATCACATGGCCTGAAAGGCCCCTGACCCAACTTCACACTCACAGGTCATACTGGGGCATGAGGCAGAAAGGAGCTCTGGCTCCAGAACATTCGCCTGTGGGCAAGAAACAGAAAGCCAGGTAGTGTGTAGAGAGAAGAAGTTGAATCTGAGAACGAGGGGGGCCTGACGGTCGGCTGAGCGTATGCATGTCCCCTGCCGGTTGGCTGAGCGTATGTCCTAAGTCCCGAGAAAGGTAGAACATCACCAAACACCAGGTGTGGCGAACAATTGCACCTGCCTGTGGGGAAATGGAAGCACTTGTCCCTCACAGCTCTCTCCTCCCCACACAGACGCAGAACTCCCGTGCTGCAAACAGAACTTTCCCCTGCGCACTGTAGGTGCCCTGACCCTGGGTGTGGGTGGTGCGTGACTTCCTCCTGTGCTTAGCCCATCCCCTGGCGTGGGTATATAAGCCCATCACTCTCTGTAATAAACGGTGGCGGCACCTTCTTCTTAACTTCTCATGGTGGTCTGTTAAGTGTTTCAATCCCGACACCCTCCGCCAATCTCGGTCCCAGGCCGTGCAGGCGCGACACCTGCCTGGGCCTATTTCTCTTGCCAGGTGGAGAAGAACTTCCTGAGAGGCCAGGGCCCTCCTCCTTTTTTTTTTTTTTTTTTTTTTTTTAAAACCAGGATGCTTCTGTGGCCTTTGAACCTGGGTTAGCTATCAAGAGTGGATAACCCAGACAGAGCCAGGATGCTCATGTTACAAGTGTGCTGTAGGGCAGGCACTGCCCATGGGACCAGATGCCCGGGGCTGACACTCGATGGCTCCACTCCTCCCTGTCACCTGCAGGTGGCTGCCCCTCAGCTTCCCCATCCATAAAGAATGACAATAATGACTATCCCCTTAAGCTGCTGGGATGATTCAGAGACCAAAATAAAGACAGTACCTAAGATGTGTATTATGAATGTTTTCTAAAAGCTGGGACACCATTTTCATTACCGTCATTGTCATGACCACAACCAACACCACCACTACCATCATCAGAAGCGTTACTACTGTGCCGTGCACACAACGATCCCCTGCCACCTCCTCATCACTGCCGCCACATCACCAGAAATATCACCGCTATCATCAAAAACATCAGCACTGTCATGATGATGATGATCATCACAAACATGACATCACCACCACCACGGTCATGATCACAAAGAACACCGTACCGGCGGCATGTTCCCCTCAGTTTCTTTTCTGATGCTACGATCCAATACCCCAAGCGAGCGAAGCAACCTAAGGGATGCAGGTTTTGTCTTATCGGGGGAACTGACCACAGCCCATCACCGAGAGGAAGTCAAGGCAGGAGAAAATTGAAGGGTCTGGTGACACCACAGCCAGTCAAGAGCAGAGAGCAACAGATGAATGGATGCGTGCCTGTGCTCAGCTCAGCTTCTCCAATCTTAAAAAGTCCAGCATCCCGGTCACGGGCAACAGACAGTCCCTTCCCCCATCTTCTCACTGCTATCTAGCCTTGCCGGTTTGGTCATGCACTCTCTCTCTCTCTCTGTCTCTCTCTCTTCCTCCCTTTTGCCCCTCTCTCTTGGTCTCCTCTTTTCCCACCCCTCACAATCTAGTTCATGGTCCCTCGTGCTAGCCATGTTTAGTCTATTATTGTCTCTCGTTACTTGGACTCTTCCAGATGCCTCTAGCTGTGCCGTTCCCCCCCCCCTATATACAATAAACTCCTTCTCTTCAACCACATCTTGGAGTGGCATGTCCTCACTTTACACAGCTGGCGCCTGGACGAAAATGAGGACATGACGGCTTCTAGGTGTGCTCGAGGAGAAGGTGTTCACTGTAGCTATGAAGAAGGGCACAGCCAGAGTCATCTGGGGGACAGCAGACTGAGCATGGCCAGCAGAGCAGACTGGACCATGAGAGGAGAGAGGGAGCAAGAGCAAGAAGGTAAGAAGAGGGAGACAAAAGAGGACCAACAGGCCAAGAGGATCAAGAGTGGGCATAGCCAAAATGTCTGAGCTATAAAGGGAAGAGAAGGCGGGAAAGGGGGGCGAGGCTCGGGCTGGAGAGGCTGTAGTAAGGGGCAGGGTGAGAAGCACTGAGAGGAGCCAGGACTCCTAACACTCTGGAGGCTCAGAGAGGCCGCAGGCAGCCAGAGTCTGCTTTGATATGGTAATAGCACCCCAGCTAGCCATTTGTCCCTGGTTCCTGGTTTCTTTAGAGCTAACAGTGTGGGAACTTTTACTCTATCATCTGTCTGTCTATCCATCCATCCATCTATTATCTATCTCTATCATCTATCAATCTATTATCTCTCTACCATCTATAAATCTCTCTCTCTCTCTATATATATATATATATATATACATATATATGTATGTATATATACATATCACAACTCTCTCTTTGTACAGTTTCCTACCTATCTACCTATGGAATGGTGCCACTTGGGGCGAGCAGATCTTTCTACACATCCTCAGGGCAACCTAATCTGTTCTTCCTTGTCAGGTGATTCTAGACTGTATCAAGTTGATAAAACTAATCATCACCACCATCAAGATTACCATCAACATCACCGCGATAACTACCATCACCACCATCATCTTCACGTCATCCACTGTCACCACCCTCGCGGTCATCTGTCTGCTCCACGACAGATGTTGGATACTTCACATTTCTTTGCATCTGCTTCTCAGGTAAGGAAGTTGAGGCTGAGAAGGTCAGGCAGTCAGAATCAGTCATCATTACAAGAGTTAGTAAGAGTGAGTAACTGCTTAACCGGGTCATGTGCTAAACAGACTCAAGTATGAGACTACTCATGCATGGCATCAGAAAACACGGACGTGTAGAGCCACACCCTAGGCAGAAAAGAGAGGTTGCAGGGAAGTAGAGAGGGGGGCCATGGATTTCCAGCCTCCCGAACACGAAGTATTCATTACATTAGTATTACATTTCTGTCCTATAAGCCCTCTGTGGACAGTATTTTTTCCCATGGCTGCCCCAGCAAAGGACTGCAGGGAGGGCTCTAGCCAGGATCCCACCTTACAGATGAAGAAGCCGAGGTACAAGGTAGTAAGTACATCATGATGTTGATAATTACACAACAGCCAAATGACAGTGACAGGTAAGACTCGGGCGGGCATCTAGCTACACAGCCAACTGGCTGGTAGACAAAGTTACTGTGCAAATATTTACTCCCAGTCTTGTAGCCCACTGATTTCACAGGAGGACAGAACACTCTGAACTCACGTGTCAGATGGCCATGGCACTTGCCCTGGCAATGACACATGCCAAGGCTCAAATGGGACTGTGCGGTCCTTTCGAGTGTCACAGGAGCCAGTCGCGCCTAACCCAGGCTGAAAACTCCCAGGACAACCCTGAAGCTCAGTCCCAGCTAACATAGCTCATTCGCCCGTTACATGAGCAAAGCCCACCACTGGAGCTAAGCTGGGGTATTGTTTGTTACCCAGCTAAGCTTACAGACTCAGAGTCCCTTCTGCAAAGGCTACTTTCCACCACCAAGCACTTGATTTGTAAGAACGGAGGAGGGGGTCGGGAAACCTCCTTCTGTCCTCTGTGGCGGCGTCAAGCACCTCAGTGGCCATCGATAAAGCCACTTGGCACCTCTGAGCCTTCGTTTTCACCTGCAAAAATAAGGGTGGCGTTCATCATTACTGCAGGTTCACAGAGAAGCGCTGACACAGAATTACCTTCCAGAACTCTGTTAGGAGAGGGAGCCTTGTGACCACGGGCAGCCATGGTTGGGCCTTGAGTTGAGGTGGGGGAGAGAGAGAGAGAGAGAGAGAGAGAGAGAGAGAGAGAGAGAGAGTCAGTCTATGTTTAACTCCTGAGAGCAAAGCAGCGTTTAATCTCTTACACTAAGAGAGCTGCAGCAGGGTGTTGCCTGACTTCTAGGAGACAGAGGTGGTGGAGGGTCCATGATGTAGTGTGTGTGTGTGGGGGGGGGTAAACACGTGTTCTTAGGCTGTTGCAAGGACTGGCTGAGAGGCACATGGAGTGCTCGGCACAATGCCTGAC